TATAATGGATGTTCAAGAAAGATGGTTAGATCATAAGGATATATGGGATGAATGGGAGGCCAAACAACTACAAGAATTAGAACAAAATAAAGGAAACAATATCAATGAATGAATGATTTGCAGGAGATTCCTATTTGAAATAATTACAGTTTTTGTATTCAATAATGGATCATTTATATTATGCTTTTATGAATATAACAAATGAAGTATCCATAACATTATAGTGATCCACCCAACTTTGTTATAGTTTGCGTACAAACGATTCATACATAGTTTTGTTTATAAGAAATGTCAAAAATCATACTCATTCCTTTGTATAGAAAGAGGAAGTGTATGCACTCAATCGGGCTTCCGATTCAAAGATGCATTCTTTGCTAATCATAAATTTACCGATGTAGAAGCTGATGTGCATCTTCTATTTAACCTTATCGATCGATCCATAGGAAAGATCAGTACCATCGAATGTATTTGTATTACTGGGGATTTTCCCGATTCCTCCTAATCCACTGCTTGTAGTACTAACACCTAATAATAAATAAATTTGTTACTTAAGAAATGAAGTGCGTCAAGGTGAACGCGAATTTTACCTCGAATTTTGAAATGATCATCATTAGTGTTTTTTCCCCTTCTCCTTCTAACACACTCATCTCCATCGTCGGCAGCATTAAATGCTTGTTGAGTAATTGGGGAGTGTGAATGGGATTGATCCGTGGTTTCCCCATTGGAAGAACGTGAGGATCTTTCAATTTCATCCTGTTCTTTGACTATTAATAAAAGTAAGATCTTCTGTCGTATCTCGTTAATACACAAAAAATTTAAGCCCACCAATGCTCTCGGTGATTGCATGATCATTCCTTTGCCCATCATGAATAATACTTAAGATTTCCGAAGTTGTGGGAAAATTATCCATAACGTCCATAAATGGAGTGTGCGGATGTGTCCGTCGTAATACGCGAGTGGAATGTTTGAAGGCCATCGTTTGAAGTATACAGATAGAAGGTTTTAGTCATTTATTACATTATATCTTGGTTGTTATTTAATCACAAGATGTATGAAGTAATATTTGATAATGAGGTCATAGTCAAAGTAAACGTGTAATGAAATTACCTTATATAATATACTTGAAAAAAAAAGTTTACGATATCTATTTATTACAGTACTATTATTTATAACCCATAACCGGACATACCATCAGAATATGCTAAATACAAAATTTTTTTAAAAAAACAATTCATTCTTATTTAAGTATGGTGCCTTTTGTTCTTTATCGATAATTTGAACGATAATTTTGTATAATTTTCTTGATATAATCATATATTTTTAAATAAATCTTATCTTTAAATTTTTTTTAAATCAACAATCTTTGTTTTAGATACGTAGATTGGTTTCTTTCCTTAAATAAATATTTTTTAATTCTTTCTAAAGTACGTGTATGCTAACTTCTTGTTGTAATTCACGTGATTGCATTAATGCAGTGACAATGATTGGTTAATTTCTCTATAAATACGGAAGTTATTTCGCAATTCGTATGTACTCGAGCGGAATCATGTCATGCACCGTACTGATGGTACGTGAATGCATTTATGCAAACATTCTTTTATCTATTTCAATGTCACATTCAATGGTTCTTTGTTAATTGACGTTTGAGGAACATAGGTCGCCGAGAAGCCTTCGCTCGCCGAGGCCATAACGAAAATTTTGGCACCAAATGGTCAGGTATGTTTCATCAGAAATTCTTATGGATCACAATTTATCGGAATTATGAATTCTGTATGTATGAGAACCTGTATAAAATTTTTATCCATACGTCAATAGTTTTACACTCGTAAATCGATCACCCCGGTTCATGAATACAATGCCGAATTCCGTGGATCTCCTAGTAAATTCAAATTTACTTCTGTAACAGGTATGTTCGAAGAAAAAATCCGAATAATCTTAGTTTACATGATTATCATGAACTATATTATGTGTAGGGCATGTGTACAGGTGAGCATTGAAAGAACACATATTTGTGAGATCAATATCAAAACATTTATTTATTTATTATCAAAAATTTATAGCTTGGACTTTACACAAAAGCATAACAATTGGGACATCGATCCGATACTACTATTTGATGCGCCAACTTTAAAAAAAGAAGCTTCAAAGGTATTATTAAGCTTGACGAGATTTTCAATAAGCTTAGAATTGAATGACTTGGACAATCTATGACATCTTACACTAACATTTAGGCAAACATTTGCAAACACCTTCAACAAGAATCAAAGAGTAGGTTAATGAATCATTCCTCAAATTATCTCATTCATTAGTGTGAACACGGTTTATAATCATATAGGCGTCGATTACGTTGTGCTTTGGTTGGATTGTGATCGTGAGGGAGAAAATATCTGTTTTGAAGTTATCGACAATGTACGCGATCGAATGAAAAAAATTTCTGGGCAATCGGAAGATAGTCGAATTTTGCGTGCAAAGTTTTCTGGTTAGCTTTTTCTCTTTTGAAATAATTAAAACATGTATAAATTAACAAATTCATGCATCGCTAGCTATCACGGCAATTGACATTCGTAAAGCTATGAATAATCTGGTATATCCAAATAAGAATGAGGCATTAGGTTAGTTTTGGATCGTTCAGAAAAAAAAAAAAGAAAAAGCTTTGATGCTTCCTTAACACATTGTATTTTTAGCGGTTGATGCTCGTCAAGAGTTAGATCTAAAAGTAGGAACGGCCCAAATTTTCTTTTTCATAATATGGACTGAGTGCTTAAATCAATAATTATCTGTTATGATCAATTAGATTGGTTGCGCGTTCACAAGATTTCAGACTAGGTTCTTTCAGGGGAAATATGGAAACCTGGACTCTAGCGTAATATCTTATGGTCCTTGTCAAACACCTACACTCTCGTTCTGTGTCTCTCGTCACGATCAGATTCAATCTTTTAGTCC